CATATCATATGGAATTTATGTGGAAATGACTAGAAAAGGACATGATTATTAATGGGACACCAAATATAAATGATGTGATAAGGAAATCAAATGAGAATGGAGTTGTCCATACTTCAATTAATGTTATACCTAACTACAATTTGAAATACAGTGTCATTTTCAAAGAGAAATCATTTCGGTCTAGAGTAAGACGACTAATTTCATTTTAATTCTCATAATATTTCACCAATTTTTATGATGGTTGCTGCCTATGGCGGATTTATGGACGAAAATCAGGCGTTTGTTTTTTCAAAAAATAAAATAAAATTAGGAGATAAAACTGAATAAATTTAAGCAAATAAATTATGGGTAATGCTATACATAGCCCTTAGGGCTATATAAGCATTAAAAACGCTCTGGAAAATTGTATAAAATTAGGAATTCATGACAAAAACACGCGTAGATCAGTGTAATTAGTGTGAATTTGTCATGATTTTCTAAATTTAAACAGTTTTCAAGAGTATTATTAATGCTTATATGTAGCCCTAAGAGCTATGTATAGCATTTTCCATAAATTATAAATTAAATCGGTTTAATTACATGTAACTTGTCATATGAATATATGATTCTAATTTAATATTAACAATTTAGAAAATGGATAAATTGATATACAACTCATGATCGGCTACTCGGCTTAAATCATTAACCTTGCATTAAAGTCGAGCATTTTCTCTTGCTAAGAAGTTAGAATTAATGCTTGAAATAATCACTACAAAATCCATACTTATTTCGATTACGAGGCTCCTTATATGTAAAGTAATGCATGGTACACCCACCTGTATCAATCAACGATTACCTTCTTGCGTTAATTTTACAAAGGTCACAATAATTTCATGTCTTTTATGAGTTTTGCAAGAATGAAGGGATTGCTTGACATGTCACATAGCATCCTAGGAAACAACACAGCAGTTCGAATGCATGCTCTCTATGATGGGCTAGTAAGAAGAAGAAAAAAACAATCATTAAACCTCTAAGAAGCTAGAAGAAAGCCAACACTCACATTCAGCAAATGAACCGTAATCACAATAACAAAATTATGTAGATGCTTAATTATATTTAAGCATTCATATTAGCATTTTATATTGACGTATCCAATAATATACACAATGTATCAATTATTGGATGGAGTGACATCTATCTAGAGAAAGAGAATGGTGAAGCGTGACACATATATAATTAAAATTGGTTTTTTTAATACTCATCCTCAAGATTATTGAATGAAGTACGGACTACGGAGTATATGGAAAAATACTAGTTTCATAATCTTATTAATTTACTTTGCAAGTCGTCCTCAAGACATGCTATTTTAGGGGTTGATTAGTGACGGTAACTAAACACTTAAATGAAATTTTGAACATGTGGAATAGGGCGCTGAATGGTTTGATGTTTTGAGTTTAAATTATTTTAATTAATATGTCCGTTTACATTATTTATCTCTTTTTTTTTTTTTTTTTTTAAATGTGAGTAAAGAAAGCATATAGAGTATGTTAAGAGCAACAGATTCATTATTTTGCCCTTGTGAGGCATTTCTCATGGTGAGGCATTAGGAGTTAGGACTTCCTCAAGAAGTTAGCACGTATAATTATAATACAAAAAAAGTAACTTGATTAGTTCTCGTTTTTAAAACTCTTTGAACACTTATATAATCGAAAGAATTTTGGGGACCCAAAGTATCCTGCGATGATTATCTAGTACTTATTGATGAGCTAATTAATTTCAATTGTAAAACTAGTAATCCACTGCTCGAGAAAGAACCCATGCAAGGCAGTTGACAAATTAAATTGAAGGCTTGATATGAGCATTGTTTTAGCAACACGCATAATAAAAGTGTTGAACCCTTTAAGGAAGTAGACTTCTCTTCTTTTTCTTTGTATTACAGTTCGAAGGAGTTATACAGTAATTTGAAGCTCTTTAAGGTTGAAAATAGGCTTTTTGGATGGAACATTATTGGTATTAGCAAAATATACATATGAACTTTTCTTACAAGTTTCTTCCTCGATCTCATCTGTAACAAAAAGAATGACGTGCCTAGCTACTTGCAAAATAATGTGTTTCATAGCTACTGGCTCACTTAGGTTGTGTTTTATTCACCCGATTTTCACTGATTTGAACTTATTTTAACCTATCATAACTTACCTGAATTTATCTAAACTTATTAGACCTTATTAAAACTTATTTTAATTATAATTTATACCTGGATAACTCTTATCAGACTTATAACTTATTAAACCTGAACTGAACTTATCAGAATTCAAATGAACTTATCTGAACTTATTAGTTAGTACTCATATACTACCCTAATACTTGCTACTTTGTCAATGTATATGTTTGACCATAAATATATGCAAATTTGTATTACTAAATTTTTTAACAAAGTTTAATATTTAAACAGCATGTTTTACAATTATATTTGTATATAAATATGTGTAAAGAAAGCATGGTCAAATTTATTGTTGTATAAATATAGGGAAAATGTTAACTTGTTGCAGGTATTCATAGCATAGCAAATACTCGGTAAATAAATTGAACAACGAATAGATTGTTTGTTTGTTTGTTTTTTTTTTTTCTTTTTTAATTACAACTATCACCACATATTCAATCATATAACTATAGGATCAAAATATTATTTGACCATTAATATGTACCTATAATATGGAATCAAATTTCACATATATCATTTTCCCTTGTAACCTCTACATAAAATGGAGTATATTTTAAGGGGGTTTAATTTGCAAGTGGTAACTTGTAAGGAATGTGTTTTAAAAAATACCATTTGTTTGATTTGATTGTGGAAGGAAGTGTTTTCTTTTATTTGATATATAAAACTATTGATGTGAGCCGCTCTACCTTACAAGTTTGAAGTATTTGTTTAGCCAATTCTAAACTCATAAATTATACCTTGATTCCGTGAACTATACACCCCCTAATTATATACTCGTAATTCTCTACAATGTTAAATGGTTAATCCACCCAATAAGCGGGTGGTTTAAAACGAGCTATACTTCACTTTCGGAGCCGTCAATGAAAACCTTTCGCTAAATTTGCGCATTTCTTTTTATCACAAGGGTAATGCTATTATTATTATTATTTTTTTTTAGGTGAATTGAGTTGAAGGGAGTTGTATTTCTCTAAAGTGCATTTTAATTTTGATGGTACTATTTGGTACCTTTATATTATTGTACTTGGAATCCCGAAAAAGAAGTGAACAAAAAGAAGAAATAAATCCCACTAACTTATTACCACTAAAATTAGCTATTAAAAGTTAAACCAATGCAAATGGCCCAGGAAAAAAGGGCATGTTTATGTCTTAATCCTTTACCTTCTCAAAGTTCAATGCATATATTCTATTATTTGGATAAGGACACTCACTATCATCTTTCAAATCTTACTCTACCAATACATGTTTTCTGGTATTATTATTGCATTTTCTATAGTTTTTTTAATTTTCCAAGGTCTTTTCACACTTTATATAATATAATCCGATACATAAGTGAGCTTAGTTGGTATTGGTAATAGAATAATTTGATTTTTTTTCATGATATCAACAAAGATTATTTTTGTGTTAAAAAATGATACAATCAATTGTCGTCACATTAGTTTATTGGGTTATTTGAGGTTATTTCAAATAAGGTTGGTTCACTATCAAGTCATTTTTAAAATCTAACATTGTAGGCCTTTTTATCCGTCAAAGATGATATGGCTACAATATGGCCTGGTTTCTTTCAATTATTTATTTATTTTTTTCAATCCGAACAGTTATGCAAGGATGAAGAAGACTTATAATTCGAGGAAAGATGCAAAATCGTTGAATTAAGATTATTTAGAATTTCATTTCAATACTAGTCGCAACTAACTAACCAATTTATTCACATAATCACATAAGATTTAATTCTATAGACCACGAAAGGAGAAAAACATAATAATTGCAAGATTTGTGGTTAATCATCATTCATTTTTTTTTTAAGCAAATCATCATTCATAATATACCTTAAAAACAATAATGGGGAATGTGGTTTCTACACTGGCACCGATTTAATAGGTAGGGCCACTTGAAGATGATGGGCTTAATTTGAAATGGTACTTCCCAAACTTTGATCATCAGATGAGAAAGAGTTAGCGGTTTGGCATCTTTTTTCACTGCTTTATAATGTACGGAGTACTTTTTGTTTTCAGTAAATACAATGCATAAACCAAGTCCAGTACTTTAATACAGAGTACTGGCCTATATTGGCTCTTTGCAATCAATGCAGCATTGATGCGTCAATAATGGGCCAAAAACCTCACTGTGGGATCGATTTGATTTGATGACGCTTACAGTTTACCAAATACGCCTTCAATTTGAAACTGCTAACGCGACAATTAAGCCTTTCTTATTTTCCATACTAGTAATGTAATAACCAAAGGAGGTTGTTTTTAAAAGACCAAATGAAATGCATCAGCAAGTTGCAACATTGCACTAGTAATGTGATAATTGAATCTGGATGATGGAAGAGTTTGTAGGATTCAATAAAGGCTTACCTTAGCGATAACCGATATTATGCGTTATAGCCAGGGTGAAAGTGAAATAACTTCAAATGCTATAAAGTATCAATAAAGGGCAGCAAAGTGAAGAATAAATTTTACATTGAAATGATGCAAAATTCTTATATACCATGATTCATGAATAGGGCTGGCAAACAGGTCGGGTCGGGTTCAGGTTGACCTGTTTACATAAACAGGTCAGGACCCCCCAACCTGAACCCGACCTGTTTACAGGTCAGAAAATTCAACCCGAACCCGACCTGATTTTAAGCTGGTTGACCTGAACCCGACCCGTCTTAACCTGTTTTTTTATTTTAAAAAAAATTGATTAACCTTGTTATTTTTTTTAACCTGTAATCTTTTTAACTAATCTTGTAATTTTTAAAAATAAAAATATAATTATTTTTCAAAAATTAACCAGAAATATTGAACAACAAAAAAAAATGTAAAATGCAAATTCAAAGCCACTTGCTGCATAGTTTATAGTACAATTATACAACACTAAAAAGTTCCAAGAGTTCCAAAATACATATAACAGAAATTCAATATTTGCCAATTAGTAACTTCATCATCTGATTCTTCATAACCAGCAAGTTCAACGGGTAAAGGAGGAAGAGGACAATCAAGTATCAACCATCTGTTAATTAAGAATAAATTAGTTAATTAGATAAATAATTAGGCTAACTTTATCAAAATACTAAATGCCAAATGCAGACTTAGCACAAAATCACTTATCTCACTCATAAACTCATAAAAAAACAGTTGTAAAAACAAGTAATCTCACTCATAATCAGATGGTGAAAAAACCGCATGCACAAAACGCACTCATAACAAACGAGCTTAAATCAGAAAAAAGTAAATCGAAGAAATTAAATCGCAAACAAGTAAACACATAAAAACAAACTAATGTTGAGATGAAATTGAAGAACTAAGATAAAATGCATAAAAAAACAGAACAATTAAGTAAAGAGAATTAATTAGCAAGCAAATTACCTTTGATAATGTTGAGATGAAGATTCACAAGCTTTAATAAACAATTTTCATGGAAAAAATATGAAAACAAGAGAGAAGAGAGATGAAAGAGAGAGAGAGGAGAGAGAATGAGTGAAAGAGGGGAATTGGGGAAGCGGCGTGAATAAAGAACAAAGCTTAGGGTTTTTCATTTTTGTGGTTAGATATTTGGGCTTAGCCCATATTTAAAAGTTAGGGTGAAAATAACTAAAATTAGGGCTGGTAAACAGGTTTAGGTGGGTTAGGTTCGGGTTGACCCGACCTGAAACCAACCCAATTAATTAAATGGGTTTAAGCGGGTTGGTTTCGGGTTGGGATTTCCAACCTGCACCCGACCCATTTAACTTCAGGTTGACCCAATTACATAAACGGGTTGAAAATCTCTTTCAAAACCCATTTATTTCGGGTTGAGTTCGGGTCGGGTTATCGGGTTGGGTCAGCTTTTGCCAGCCCTATTCATGAATGATACCATCTTCTCACTTATCCACAATTTCAATGGGAAAGTTATCACTACAAAGAATGTGGAATATCATCTCCACGGCGAGTTGTACACAGGTCAAAAGCATATCACCACAAAGAATATCAATAGTAAGAGTTCATCACTTGTTCAATCATAAAACACTCTTCACCACAATCAATCGCTGTAGACAACTGCAGTGACGTAGAAATGCTCAATTTTCATGAAGGCGCTTTACGGTTCAGCAGTAGTCAGATCTGTTCAGTATACATTGGTTTTAATCCACAAAATCTACTATGATTAGGGCAAAACAGTCTTAATCAGCATAAATTTATACATGTAAGGTGTAGTTTTTTAATTTTTTTTTTTAATAAAAAAAAGTAAACCAACTTGTACCAATCGTACCTTGTCCACAAACACGTTTTGGTTAAACTCATTCACTTATCAGATGCAAGTTGCAAGTCTATATATGTGCTTAATCAGGAGAAAGGACCCTGACATGCATCCTAATCTTCAAATTAGATGAGAATTTGTAGGAATGGATCTGTGAAATAAATAATTATCACAACACGTGAGCCATAATAAAATGAGTCTTTTTCTCTTAAATTTTCTGAGAAAGAAATTATTTTTACAAACAGAAGCTTTGTCGATCAACAAAATTTCATGAATAGCTTTACATCACAATTCAAATTATGGCAGACAATGAATGATGATGGGAAGAATATGTGTGTTCAAATGGTGTCTTAGCAGCTCTCCAATCATGTCTCCAAACAGAGATATTGGAGAGCTAACTCTACTCCAACACGAGAGCATAAGAGCTCTCCAAGCAGAGCCCAGAGTCATATACCAATGTACTTGTACATTATCAAAAGCAGTATATAGCTAATAACTAACAAATTTAAATTTCTTGGGAACAAAAACTCACTTGTGTTTCATTTTACATAGCCTTAAAGCCCTTATGCATCATCTGTTTTCGTTGACAAACTGGAAATATTCCTCTTCCCCATAAAGTTTCCTGAAATGATTGATAAACATATAAATGTCACTTAACTTGCATTCCTCTCAAACAGAGAATACAATATCGACAATCGGACAAACAAAGAAAAGTAGTCTATTGAGACTTGGAACAGGTCTTAGTTTGGGAACCCAAAAGAGGAAGAGACGAACTAGCAACATGGAATCAAGTCAGTTAAAAATGAAATAGCTGGTCATTTTAAATCTCATAATCCACATATATCTGAATGCATTGCAGATATTGACAAGAAATACATGTTGTCGAATACAACCTCCTCTAGTTCTATCAGGTCATATATGTTTTGTTGCTCAGTACACAGTCTAGTTTAAGATATATCACCAACAATGATGAGAAAAATATAGGCACGATTTTTATTTTAGCAAAAGCAGAACAGCAGCAACAGTAAATATGATGAAAGCAGGATCATTTCATCGAGCATTTTTTGTGTAAATTTCTGAATGACTGGTACAACGATTTTTGCACCTTATATATGACAGCCCTACTTAACAACCCTAGTGACTTACCACTAGCAATCTTACAGCTCATACAATAACCGACAAAAGAAAGAAAGCTGCACAGCAGCACTAGGACACTAGCACACAAGCAACAAAAAGGAAATATTCCTACTCTCTATTTCATCAATCCCCCTCAAGCCGAGAGTGAAGACTGAGACTTGAACTCCAAGCTTGTTCATTTGTTGATTCATTTGTTCTACTGAGAGAACCTTAGTAAACATGTCTCCAAGTTGTTGAGAGCTGTGTACGTAGGTAGGAGAAATGATCCCTTCACTTGACTTATCTCGAATGAAATGACAGTCAATGTCAACATGCTTTGTTTTCTCATCTTGAATGAAATGACAGTCAATGTCAACATGCTTTGTTTTCTCATGATGTAGTGGATTTGCAGCAATGGCTAATGCAGCCTGATTATCACATAATATAGGTGTTGTGCCTAGCTTTGTCATTCCCAGATCCTTTAGTAGTTCCTAGAGCCACAATACCTCACACACTCTCAATGCCATTGATTTATATTATGCTTTTGCAGTGCTTCTTGCAACCACATATTGTCTCTTTGATTTCCAAGCGACAGGAGATTGCAAAGATGTAGATCTTCTGGTGCTTTGACACCCCGTCAGTCACTGTCACAAACTCACAATAGCACACTGATAGTAAATGTCAGTTGGCTTGACCAAATTTGCTAAGCACATGAACAGTAAAATAGTGAGATAGACGAGTTTGCCTACTAGCTTCTGGTATGGTTCTAGGTCAACCATGACATTTCCACCTTGAGCTGTCAACTTTAGGTGTGGATCCATATGAAGCTTGAAAGATCTCATATACATCATGTCATATTCTTCCACTATATCTATGATGTACTATCTCTGGGACATAAACAGGCTTTGTTCACTTCTGTCTACTTCAATTCCAAGAAAATATCTCAATTCACCCATGTCTTTAATGTGAAACCGGGAGATGCAAGAAATAGTTTTTCTTCATTGATTTATTTCATGTCATTTCCAGCAACAATCAAGTTAGCAACATACACTAAGATGACTGTTAAACTTCTTCAGAAACAAGGAGTAATCAGATTTTGACTGGAAGAACATATGGGAGCTTGCTTGAGCCCATACAGTGATTTCTTTGGTTTACACACTTTGTTGGTTTTAAAGTTAGTTTGCTCCCCCTCTCTTTGAACACTAACCCTGCTTCCAATTCCTGTATACCCTTGTGGGAGTTTCATGCACACATCTTCTTGCAATTCACAATGCAAAAAAGCATTTTTAACATTCATTTGACGCACAATCCAGCCTTCTAGAGCAACAACAACAAGTAAGGACCTTACAATGGTCATTTTTTGCAATTTGAGCAAAGGTTTGGTCATAGTCAACACCATACACTTGCTTGTTCCCTAGAATGACAAGGCTTGTATTTGGTTTTGTATAACCATTTACAACCTATTGCCTTCTTTCCTTGAGAAAGGTAAGCTATTTCCCAAGTATTATTGTTTTTTTCAGCTTTCCATTCCTCATTCATTGCATCAACCCACTCTTGTTTCTTTACAGCTTGTTTAAAGGATTTAGGCTTGTGACTTCAAACATCAAAATAGAAAATGAATTGCTGGTTGGGACAGAAGCAATGGTTTTTATCTTTTCCGGACAGTCTTAACAAAAAGATTGGATGCGATATTCCCTATCACATAGTCTTTGTGCCATTTGGGTGGCACATGTGGTCTAATACTTCTTCTCTATGTTACTAGGACTCGGATGAAGTGTCAAATTAGACACGGGTTTCCAAGCATCAGACTCGTCCATTTTCTTGGAAAAATTTGTGTTTTTAGTTAAAAATGAAGTGTCCAAGTGTCGATGTCGGTGTCCGACAAGTGTCATGTCGACACGGACACGTGAGGTAAATGAAAGAGTCCGAGTAACATAGCTTCTTTTCATTCCTTCTCCATTAACATTCTAATCATGATCAAGTTCATCAAACAGAATGAGCAACATTTTCCGAAGTTTCATCAACAATTAACCAGCGTTGGCCCCCAAATTCATACGTAATTATGTCGTTTCGATTCATCCTTCCCCCCACCCTATTCCCAAAAAATACCTATATTTTGGAAAACGAGATTATCGGTGCTTCTTATATGCAAAAAAATGCTAAGTAGTGGATTGAGACAAATCACAAAGCCAAAGTGTTGGGGTGTGGCATGGTGCAAGGGGGCGTGTGGCATGTGCACAAGACATGTGCACCAAGAGACGAGGCATACAAACAACTAATTTTGTTGTTTGAAGGTATGCCGTCGTTGCCTTAACACATGATGATTAAGGATGAATAATATGGTTCTAGGCATTATCCATGACTCCTAAGGCCCTTTGGGAACCCAAGGAAGTACTTGGATGCATAAACTTGCCGGGATAAAAAATTTATGTATGGAAGCCAAATATGAAGGCTATAATACACGAAATCAGAGAAATTTAGAAGGTGTTTGGACTCGATGTCAGAAATTCACGGAATTGTACGGGATGCATCCCGAGGTCATATGATGTTGTTTGGACTCATATACGATCATAAGTCGGCTACTAAAGGCCCAGTGGAAGCTTATAGCCAATAGAAGAGGCGTGTATGGAAACGGGAAAATTGGAAGCTTAATAGAAAATCGGACAGTTCCACCCACCCAATTAGACTTCCAGAGGGTATTACAGTCTATAGGTAGCTTCTCAGCAATTTTTGTTTCCAGTAAAAACGAATCAAAAATTGGAAAAATTCAAGGCTATAATACACGTTTTTTGGCTAATTTTGAAGGTTTCTGGACCCGGTGTCGAAAGGTCTGTAAATATAATGTCGTTTGGAACCATATATGATCATTATATGTTGTCTTAAATGTCCGTGGTAGCCTCGAGTTTATGATTTTAGTGCAAGTTCTAAATGGGTAAATTGATAGTTTGAAGGCATATTGGATGGTTTGACCCACCAAAATGGACTTCCGGGGTGTATTAGGCTCCATGGGAAGCATCTCGGCAATTAATGTTTCTAGGTCTAAAAAAAGTGAAAAATTTTCCAAAATTGAAGGCTATAATACACGGTTTCGGATAAGTTTTTGAAATTTTTTCAAAAAATAACCCGAATGCGTGGGTTGACTCCTGGGGTCATATAAGGAGCTTTGAAACTGTAACACACCTATAAAGATGTCTGTGAAGTACAAGAACGAATATGTTTCTATTTTGAAATTCACGAAATTTTGAAATATATTGATGTCATAAAGTGTATTGAAGTGATGTGACTTGACAATAATGATGTCATAAGAATATAATAATAGCGTATAAGTATAATGATGTCTTATTAAGTAATCATATTTATAATGATGTGATGTGATAATATGACATGACAATAGCGATGTCTTAAGAGTATAATAATCTCATATAGGAAAATGGCGTTTCTTTATATGCCCTATATTTTGGAAAACAAGGTTAGCGGTTCTTCTTATATACTAAAAAATGCTAAGTAGTGGATTGATACAAAAGACAAAGCCAAAGTGTTGGGCTATGGATTCGTACAAGGGTGCGTGTGGCATCTGCACAAGACATGTGAGCCGAACGACAAGGTATACAAACAACTAGTTTTGTCGTTTGAGGATATGTCGTCGTTGCCTTAAGACACGGTGATTCAGGATCGATGAGATGGTTCTAAACATTATCTATGACTCTTAAAGCCCTTTAGGAACCCATGGAAGTACTTGGATGCATAATCTTGCCCGGTGAAAAAATGATGTATGAAAGCAAAATTTGAAGGCTATAATTCATGAAATCAGATCAATTTAAGAAGCGCCAGGACTCGGTGTCAAAAATTCACGGGATTTTAAGGGATGCATCCCGAGGTCATACGATGTTGTTTGGACCCATATACGACCATAAGTTGGCTACTAAAGGCCTCGTGGAAGCTTATAGCCAATAGAAGAGACGTGTACGAAAACAGGTAAATTGGATGCTTAAAGGCAAATTGGACGGTTCCACCTACCCAATTGGACTCTCGGAGGATATTAGGGTCTATAGGTAGCTTCTCGGCATTTTTGTTTCCAAGTAAAAAAGAGTCGAAAATTGGCAAAATTCAAGGCTATAATACACGCTTTTTGCTAATTTTGAAGGTTTCTGGACCCGGTGTCGAAAGGTCTCCAGATACCAGGAGATACATCCCAGGGTCATATTATGTCGTTTGGAACCATATATAATCATTATATGTTGTCTTAAATGTCCGTGGTAGCCTCGAGTTTATGATATTGGTGCAAGTTCTAAACGGGTAAATTGATAGTTTGAAGGCATATTGGATGGTTTTACCCACCCAAATGGACTTCCGGGATGTATTAGGGTCCATGGGAAGCATCTCGACAATTTATGTTTCCGGGTCTAAAAAAAAGTGATAAATTGTCCAAAATTGAAGGCTAATACACGATTTCGGATAAGATTTTGAAATAATATTTTCAAAAAATAATCCGAATGCGTGGGGTGA